TTTCGTGCCGCAGCTGTTAAGAAAGACGACGAAGCTCACGGCCTTTTGACAGACTCGTTAGTGAACTACGAGACGGTCAAGTATTTTGTGGCCGAGGAGTACGAGCGCAAAAGGTATCGTCGCACGATTAAGCAGCAGCTCCAACAGCAGCTGGCACAGCAGTGGTCCCTCTCTCTGCTGAATGTATCTCAGCAGTTGATTGTCGCATTCGCAACCCTCGGAGGCATGACGATCGCTGCGGCAAGTGTTGTAGGGGGGGGCGCCTCGCTCGGAGACCTGGTGGCCGTCAATTCCTATGTGTTGGGTGTCTTCGTGCCTTTCTCCTTTCTGGGATCCATATACAATATGTCGGTGGACGCTATCGTCGACATGCGCTCCTTTGGGCGGGTGCTCGCAGAGAAGCCTGCGGTCGTCGATCCACCAGGAAGCGCGCCCGAGTTGGACGTTGCAGCATCGATGGGTCAGCCCATGATCAAGTTCGACCGCGTTTCCTTCGCCTATGCAGACCAACCCGAAGCCCGATCTATAAAGGATGTCTCTTTTGAGGTACCCCGTGGAGGTACACTGGCGCTGGTGGGGCCCACTGGATCGGGGAAGACCACGATCACGAGGCTTCTGCTGCGCCTGTTCGATCCCACAGGCGGGCAGGTGCTGATAAACGGCCAAGACGTTCGAGGTGTGCGCCAGCAGTCGCTTCGAGCTGCGGTAGGCGTGGTGCCTCAGGACGTTGTGATGTTCAACGCCTCGATTTCGCATAACATTAATTATGGCCGGCTTGGTGCTGCCACAGACGAGGAGATCCAGCAGGCGGCAGCGAGGGCTCAGCTTTCGAAATTCATCGAGCAACACCCGGACGGGTACGAAGCACTCGTCGGCGAGCGTGGCTTGAAGTTGAGCGGCGGCGAGAAGCAGCGCTTGGCCATCGCGCGCTGCATTCTCAAGGACCCGCCGATTGTCGTGCTAGACGAAGCTACCTCTGCCCTGGACACCCAGACGGAGAGACAGGTGCAGCAGGCACTGGACATGCTCAGTACCGACAGGACGGTTGTTGCAATCGCACATCGCCTGAGCACGATACGGGACTTCGATCAGATCCTGGTGCTCGTCGACGGCGAGGTGACAGAGCGTGGCACGCACGAGTCCCTCCTGGCCCAGGAGGGCTCGCGGTATGCCGCCATGTGGAAGGAGCAGGAGTCGGGCTTGGCCGCCGGCACCAAAGGAGAGGCATGACGAGGACAATGCCGATAGTCGGCCGCGAGCGAGTGGGAGGGAACTGAGAGGGCCTCCTCAGAAGGCTGCGGGGCTTCTCAGAAGCACTCCAGCCTTCTGGGCAGTTCTCTGCGTCTTCGTGGAAGGCTTACAGCACTTCTCAGAAGGCTGGGGGACTTCCAAGCCTTTTGAGGTGGCCCGCCCTTTCTCACTTACCCCCGGGTTCGCCGTCGAGTTGGAGCAAGAGCTGTAGTTGCACGGTTTCAAGTCACGCGGATTGGTTCGTGCATCGGATACCGAGGCCAGTCCGGAATACAGCACAAACGACAAATGAAGAGATTCCCGTGGTGTGGGCGCGGATCGGCTTGTGAAACACTCCATCCGCGTCGCCGTACGGTGGCTCGCTCGAGGATGGCGCGCCCCGCGCTCAGAATCCTTTGCAAATGGAAGGGGGTTTGCAGGCCCCATCAGGTTCAGGATGCCTTTGGGCGCCGCTGGATGCCCTGGGAGCGAGAGTCCTGCGTGTTTCGCAAAACGTCGTGGCCCTGGGAGCGTGGGCGCAGAGTAATCGACGAGGGATCGTTGCCCTGCGCGCGCGGACGCAACGTATTTTAGAAAGGATCTTGACAGTTGGAGTGCAGACGCAGCGTAATCTACGAGGCTCGTGGCCCCAGGAGCGCGAGCCCCGCGTCGTTTTGCAAGGGATCGTGGCCACGGGGGCTCGGGCGCAGCACCATGCACGAGGGATCGTGGCCCTGGGCGCGCGGACGCCGTGCCATTGTTGTTCAATGGATCGCGGCCTTAGGAGCGCGGGCACATCGTAAGTTATGAGTCGGGGGTGGACGGAACCCCCAACAGTGACACGTCGATTGGTGACGTGTCCGTTTTCGGTTTTCGAGAGGGCGCCGTGGCCGTTATTTTCCAGCTTGCGCCCGCCAGGTTTGGGCCTCAGGTCGTTGTCACTAGAACACGTTTTGCCAAAGGGGGGTCTGTCCATCCCCGAATGAGGGCTCATGGCCCTCAGATCGCAGATGCAGCGTCGTTTACGAAGGATTTCGGCCCTGGAGCGCGGACGCCGGATATAGCTTCACCGTCGAGTCGACATGTGGGGCTGTGGGCGCGGCCCCATTGCCACACTGGAGGTGATCTTGGCGCCGGGAGTTCGGATCCTCGTAACCGTTAGCCGTCGCGTTCTGGACGGGGCCGCACACGGGGGAGGGGAAGGAGGCCCGAACCTTCTCGGGGTCCTTCTCACCGTTGCGACAGCCGCCCCGAAGCCCATCAAGACACGTGCGTCCCGAACGTCTGCGAGCGGGGAAACAAGCAACTCACATATACATAGATATACATACATATACATATACATATACATATACATATACATATACACATATATATAAGTGCTGGTCGCCCGTGCGCTAAAATCATGGCTTCTCACATAGGCCCCTAACGCCCGTGGGCAAGACAGCTGTCAAAACCTTCAGGCTCCTCTCGCCCGAGAGCTGAACACATGTGTTTTTGCACTGGCACTTGACGCCCGTGCGGGCCTTCGGGCGAGCGTCCCGGGATGCTTTGGCGCCCTCCCTCCTGTCGTGGTGGGGATCTGCTCTTGAAGGAGAAGCGCGCGGCTCCTGAGGGTCTGTCGTGATGTCGGGCGGGGCTGGCCCTCGCCGAGGGCGCCCAGAATCGCGCCTCGGGGAAGGACAGCGTGTGGGGAACCGAGGAGGGGGAGGAGGAGGAGAAGGAGGAGGAGGAGGAGGAGGAGGAGGCGGAGGAGGAGGAGAGGAGGAGGAGGAGGAGAGGAGGAGAGGATGAGCGGAGGATGAGAGGGAGGAGGGAGGAGGAGGAGGAGGAGAGGAGGAGGAGGAGGGAGGAGGAGGAGAGGAGGAGGAGGAGGAGAGGAGAGGAGGAGGAGGAGGAGGAGGAGGAGGAGGAGGAGGAGGAGGGGGGGGAGGAGGAGGAGTAGGAGGAGGAGGAGGAGGAGGAAGAGGAGGAGGAGAAGGAGGAGGAGGAGGAGGAGGAGGTGGAGGAGGAGGAGGAGGGGGAGGAGGACCCCCCCGGAGGAGGACACCCCCGTGTGTGCAGGCCTCGACGGCTCGGCGCCGAAAGCCAGGCCAGGGCTGTGGCGGTGCTGCCCCCCCCCGGTGGGCTCTTTCGGGGGGGGGGCATCCCTCGAGAGGCCCTTCCTGCGCTTCCCCCGGGGCCACCATTGGACCATGTGGGGCCTCGTTGGACTTGTCTTGAGGCCTCTCGGGCTGCCCGAGGGGCTGTCGCAGAACCCCCTGCGCAGGCGCGCCCTGGGCAACGGGGCACGCTCCCCAGCGAGCGCGCAGGCGCCACCCTTCCCGGACGGATGGGCCTCTGCTTGTGGGCGGGGGCGATGCGGCAAGGATCTTTGGATGGGGAGGGCGCTCCTCCCCCTCCTCCTCCTCCTCCTCCTCCTCCTCCTCCCTCATCATCATCATCATCATCATCATCATCATCATCATCATCATCATCATCCATCATTATCATCATCATCATCATCATCATCATCATCATCATCATCATCATCATCATCATCATCACCATCACCATCACCATCACCATCACCATCACCATCATCATCATCATCATCATCATCATCATCAGCATCAGCATCATCACCATCATCATCATCATCATCATCATCATCAGCATCAGCATCAGCATCAGCATCAGCATCAGCAGCATCATCATCATCATCATCATCAGCAGCAGCAGCAGCAGCATCAGCAGCAGCAGCATCATCAGCATCATCATCGTGACAGCCGTTTTGCTTTGGCCTTTGGGCACGTGTCCCAAAGCGCATCGGCGCCCAAAAACCTAGGGCACCCTGCCGTCTGCAATTGCTTAATGATTGTGGAAAGCCAGAGCGGGGATTTCGCTCACCTCTGCGCTGGGCTTTTGGCAGCTTCCCTCTTGCTCGTCGCCCCTCATTCCAGAGCCTCCGCCGACGGGCCTTGATCCTGCCTCCTCTGGACCTCCAGAGGCAAGCTGACAGCACTCCCAGGCCTTCTCGCGCTGCTGTCTAGGCGTTCTGAGCAGCTGTGTGGCTATGATCTCTTCACTTGTTGGGCTGTAAGTAGGCCCCTGGTCACAACCACCCTGCTCCATCCTTGCCTCTCCACTTCTGGCTCCCCCTCCCCGCTTGGTCCCCCTTCCCTCTCTTCCTGCGCCCCCCTCCCTGCCATCCTCCCATCTCCGTGATCCCAACCCCCTCCCCCTGCCCGCGCTCTCCCTGCACCTCCTCTCCCCGCGCCTCCCCCCCCCCGGGAGAAGGGTCGAGGAGGTGATGGGGAAGGAGGAGGAGGAGAAGGAGGAGGAGGAGGAGGAGGAGGAGCGGGAAGAGGGTGGCAGCGTCAACTTTGATCCCGGTGCCGTCAGTGCTCAGGGGGGGACCGACGAGGAGGATGAGGATGAGGATAAAGAAGAGGAGGGAGCAGGAGGAGAAGGGAGAAAGAGGAGGGGAGACAAAGGGGGATGATGATGATGATGATGATGATGATGATGATGATGATGATGATGATGATGATGATGATGATGAGGAGGAGGAGGAGGAGGAGGAGGAGGAGGAGGATAGGAGGAGCATGCGGAGGAGGAGGAGGAGGAGGAGGAGGAGGAGGAGGAGGAGGAGGAGGAGGACGGCGGCGACGACGTAACGACGACAACGAGGACGACGAGAGAGGAGGAGGAGGGGGAAGGGAGGGGGGAGGACACGAGGAGGAGGACGAGGAGGAGGAGGAGGGGCCCCCTCCCCTCCCAGCCAGAAGGCCACCCGACCCGCCGCGCGGCCGCGACCTCGGGCACGAGGGCTGCAGCCAGCGGTCCTACACCAGCGACCCGCCGAGCGACCCGAGGCTTCAGGCGGGCCCGTGCCCGGCTCCCCGCCCGCTGCTCGAACCTTGCGCCTGCTGCCGCCGCGCCCGCTGCTGCTGCTGCTGGTCGAGAGCCAAGAGAGCTAGAGGAGGAGGATCGAGGATAGAGGCGATGGATGCACTCTCGCCATCCCTCTCCAGGGGCTTTGGGATGGACCCAAACGGCGGTGTTTGGGCGATGTCGTGGGTCGTTCTCGTTTGGATGTCGTTCTGCGGCAGAGGCGGATTGAAGACAAAACGAAGGAAAACGAAAACAATACGAAAAAGAAACACCGTTTAGGTTCAGCCCTGCTCCAGGGACTTCGGGGTCGAACTTGCCAATGTGGGTGCGAGCTGGGTGTGCGCCGTCCAACAGATGAGCTTTATCCAGACAAACACGTACGGTAGATCTCTCTCTCTCTTTCCCTCTCTCTCTCCACACGCCCTAGGGAGGGAAGCGTTGGAGAGCTGCCGGTCGAGAGCTGCAGGCGCTAGATGCGGAGGATCGAGGATAGAGGCGAGGCCGAGGGAGGCAAGGACCCGTGTCCCCCCCTCACTCCCCTTGTGCCGTGGCGAAGCCGTCGGTTCAGGCTTGGAGCCGGCACCTGGTGTCCTGTGGCTGCCTTGCGTCCTCGGCACTCCGCTCCTCGGGCCGACAGAGGAGACCCGTCAAAAGAAGAGCCAGAGAGAGAGAGAGAGAGCGGACAGATATGGGAGGCATATCGCTACTCTGCCTACGACGATCATCGCACGCACTGCCAGCACGGCAACGCTCTGCGCTCCGAGCGTCACGCTGTGGTATAGGGCTTTGCACGCGATCGAGCCCTGGAGTTCTGTGCTCGCAGCCGCGCTGAGAGTGTGATCGTCCCGAACAGCTGCAGGGTGGAACAGTGGCAATCTGCTGCTGCTGCTCATCCTTCTCCTCCTCCCGGCTCGGCATCGCTCGGACGCGTGTCTTTTTCCTCGACGAGGACCATCGAGGAGCATCCTGTCTTCATCTTGCAAGACAGCAACACAACAAAAGAAATAACGCACGCACGACAGTGATAGTTTGTTATTCATTGTTTTGCCGATCGGCGCGGGACCCAAAATCCCCCCTCCCCCCTCTTTCCTGGAGTAGATCTTGGCTTTTTTCCCAACCATCCTGTGGTGTTGGGTCCTCGCTTGGAAGAGACAGCGCCCCGCGTTCACTCCTCCTCCTCCCGCTGCCCCCTCCCTCCTGCCATCATCATCATCATCATCATCATCATCATCATCATCATCACCATCATCATCATCATCATCATCATCATCATCATCATCATCATCATCATCATCATCATCATCACCATCATGACGACCATAGGGAGCTCCAGCGAAGGCCCCAGTGGCTGCGCTCCCATGCGCCCGCCGCACAGATTTCGGCACACCCCTCACACGTTTCGTGGCCCCATAGGGAGCTCCACCGAAGGCCCCAGCGGCTGCGCTCTCATGCGCCCACCGCGCCCATTTCGGCACACCCATCACACGCTTCGTGGCCCCATGGGGAGCTCCAGCGAAGGCCCCAGTGGCTGCGCTCCCATGCGCCCACCGCATCCATTTCGGCACACCCATCACACGCTTTCGTGGTCCCATGGGGAGCTCCAGCGAAGGCCCCAGTGGCTGCGCTCCCATGCGCCCACCGCACCCATTTCGGCACACCCCTCACACGTTTCGTGGCCCCATAGGGAGCTCCAGCGAAGGCTCCAGTGGCTGCGCTCCCATGCGCCCACCGCACAGATTTCGGCACACCCTCACACGTCTCGTGGCCCCATAAGGAGCTCCACCGAAGGCCCCAGTGGCTGCGCTCCCATGCGCCCACCGCGCCCATTTCGGCACACCCCTCACACGTTTCGTGGCCCCATAGGGAGCTCCAGCGAAGGCCCCACTGGCTGCGCTCCCATGCGCCCACCGCACCCATTTCGGCACACCCCTCATACGCTTCGTGGCCCCATAGGGAGCTCCAGCGGAGGCCCCAATGGCTGCGCTCCCATGCGCCCAACGCACAGATTTCGGCACACCCCTCACACGCTTCGTGGCCCCATAGGGAGCTCCAGCGAAGGCCCCAGTGGCTGCGCTCCCATGCGCCCACCGCACCCATTTCTGCACACCCCTCACACGTTTCGTGGCCCCATAGGGAGCTCCAGCGAAGGCCCCAGTGGTTGCGCTCCCATGCGCCCACCGCATCCATTTCGGCGCACCCATCACACGCTTCGTGGTCCCATGGGGAGCTCCAGCGAAGGCGCCAGTGGCTGCGCTCCCATGCGCCCACCGCACCCATGTCGGCACACCCCTCACACGTTTCGTGGCCCCATAGGGAGCTCCAGCGAAGGCCCCAGTGGCTGCGCTCCCATGCGCCCACCGCACAGATTTCGGCACACCCCTCATACGGTTCGTGGCCCCATAGGGAGCGCCATCGAAGAAGATACTCACAATTGCGATACTCGCAACTGCATCTGGTTGGGTTCTTCGCCGGGATTTTTTTCGAACGGGTGGTGACTCCCCCAGAGGCCGCACTCTTATAAACAGTCGCACTAAGCAGAGGTCTGGAGCCAGCACCCCCCCTCCCCCTCTTCGCCCAATGTCGAAACGCTGAATATATAATAATAGTAATCATACTAAGAATACTAATAATACGCACAATAAGAAGAGTAGTATTAGTATTAGTTAAACTAATACTCGTAGTAGTCGTAGTCGTAGTCGTAGTCGTAGTCGTAGTCGTAGTAGTAGTAGTAGTAGTAGTCGTAGTCGTCGTAGTAGTAGTAGTAGTAGTAGTAGTAGTAGTAGTAGTAGTAGTAGTAGTAGTAGTAGTAGTAGTAGAAGTAGTAGTAGTAGTAGTAGTAGTAGTAGTAGCAGTAGTAGTAGTAGTAGTACTAGTAATATTTCAACTGGTAATAGTAGTATAGTAGTATAGTAGTAGTAGTAGTAGTAGTAGTAGTAG